CATAAAACTGTGGAAAGCAAGCACACACACACACAATGATTGAATGTCAAAAAAGGAAACTCACTTTCTTAAATTGGTGTCTTTATTTTTTCTCTTAACTTTTGTATGAACAAGACGTACATTCAGCTGATAGCAGTAATAATCCTTACATGTATTCTTGACACACTGACCCTCTGAAGACAGGCTAAAGCTAGCTATGCCCCAAAAAAAAGGGTTATTTTAATTTTGACAAAAATTAATAAGTTATTTTGTGCGTTTTCATAAAAGATTTGAAATTTCTCCTTTACAGTGGGTAGCTGCAGAAAAAGAAAGATGTTGAAATGTGCTTTCTAGAGAACTAAGATTGCAGACATGGAATGAAATGGGGCGGCAAAAGCTCTCAGTCTTTGATTATGGTTCTCTGAAATAAGCTGAATTTAATGTAAAATATGTGCTTCATATAAGATCAGCAATTTAGCTCTTTCTTTATTTACTAGGAAATATTTGGAGAAACCATTTTAGCCATTGTATACAGACGGTATTTTCTAGTTGATAACAGAATGCCTAAGACAAGAAATTGAAAGGTCCATGTGGCTTTTCTTTTCATTTATATTCCTTTCAGTAATGAAACGGAATCTGTTCCCTACTTCTATTTCATTAGAATTTTTGAAGCGCCTGTCACCTATCATCAGCAGTTTATACGTATTTCAAGTTTTCCCCGTGAACAAATGTACTAACTCGGGGTCCATATGTCCACATGTCTAGGAGGGGGACTCCACGTGGTTTTGGATTACCTGTCTGGACTCCTTTTCTCATTTATTGTTTGGAGTATGTCACCTTCTGTCAATCTAATTACCTCTCTAAGAAACGGCTGTTCTCAGCTCACTGTATGACAATTGCTGCCTTGTGAATTCATCCCAGAAGCCTCTGCAGTCAATTGATCTACCCCAAAAGTGTCATTCTCACATGGAAAACTGCCTTCACCATGCAGACTCACTCCAGAAACACAGGAGTCTCTAAGAAGAGAGTGTCTATAGATACAGAGCCAGAGACGCTCGTGGTTTTAGGAGACCTCCTGCCTACTCTTGACACACAGAATAACTCTTTCCAAAGTCTAGGGACATATCTTTCTAGAACTTCTAGCCCCTATTAAACAGGAATATGTAAGTGTCTACATTACCTGGCCAGTAACATTTGTAAAATATCAGCAAGCTCTAAAAAATCAGAGACATACCTGGTAATATCAGATAAACACCCGAGGAATAATGCTTATATATCCATTTAGTAATCATATTAATTTATACTGGCTATTTATTAGTGTCCTGAAGACAGACTTACAGAATCTAACAGTGATTCCTTTGTCATCTTTAAGCAGCTCTAGGCTTTTAATAAAATAAAGACAAGACTGCTCTTATATTCCATATTACTCTATGGAATTCACTTTCATTTTCAGTGCTATATAGTTCCACCATAATCATCTTTCTTGGCAGACAAGCTCTTAGCTAAGGATAGTGAGTTTGGCTATGTGCTTATGGGGATTTGGTACTCTATTAATTTGAGCTTAGATTTCATGTTTGTAGCTCTCAAAATGGTTCATTTTTAGATAACACAATTTAACTTGAAGGTTAAATTTAAAATTTATGTATATATTTCATTAAAATATGTGTGATATGTACTGTGACATAATATCAAATACAAGATGTGGGAAGAATAAATACTACGGTCCCTGTCCCCCTCCTATCACTGTGTTTTCTTTTGTGATTTCATGCCAACCGCTTCGTTTGCTCTTAGTTGGTATATCTCTTAAGGCACAAAATGAACTTTTGAATTAATTGATTTTTTTAAATCCAGAAATATGTTATATGGACCAGCAATCATACCCACTATGAAATTTGATGTCTAGGAGAGTATTAGTATTTCAGTCTTATTTTCATGTTTGAATCTTCCCCTCAGCCTTAAGTAGTTTCTGAGACTGGAGACTTGGAGACCTTGAGCAACACCTGGCAGTGCTTAGGGATGATTCCTGGCTCAGTGTTCAGGGGTCACTCCTAACGATACTCAAGTTTCATAGGTGGTGCCAGGAACCAAACTGGGGTTTTGGTTGCTTGGCAAAGCAAGTATTCTAACTCTTGTACTATCTCTGTACTATATCCAGCGAGGGCCGGAGCCATAGCACAGCAGGTAGGGCGTTTGCCTTGCACGAGGCCAACCCGGGTTCAGTTCCTCTGTCCCTCTTGGAGAGCCTGGCGAGCTACCGAGAGTATCCCACCCACATGGCAGAGCCTGGCCAGCTCCTCGTGCCATTTTCAGTATGCCAAAAACAGTAACAACAAGTCTCACAATGGAGACGTTACTGGTACCCACTCGAGCAAATTGATGAACAATGGGAGGACATTTCTACAGTGCCGCTATCTCTCCAACCCCACACGGTTGTTTTTTTTTTTTTCCTTTTAAATTAGACCTAATTTATCTTGGTGTTCTCACTACTGCAGCAATTGCATCTGATCAGGAGAGAGTTATTCTACATCCCTTATTTTTCAAGTGTAGGAAAACCCAGACAGAGGAAAGTGACCCTTCAGTGATAGAGACTCAGCCAACCAGCTCTGCCCACGCTCAGGTGAAACTTGGCAGGAGGTTTCCTTAGTTTTATAGAAGACTTGCGAGAGAGAAGGAGTTAATATTTGTGGAAATAGCTTTCAATAAAATGTAATTGATATTTGAATTTTTAGAAACGAAGCACAATATCTACCCCCAAAGGCTTCATAAGAATATGTAGCACACATGTATCTGCCAGATGGATTGTAATGACAGTTGATAGGCCTTGCTAACCCTTGCGTTCTGTTGTCAAAAATCTGCACATCAAAACAACTATGATTTCCACAATAAGACTTATTGGATAAAAGATTTGGGTGCATGGTTAATAAAATAACTGACTATCAAAGACTATAAATTAACATTACATAAGACTTTATATTAATGGCTTATATAAGACTATGTATGTGAAAAAAAGACTATGTATGTGTACCTTATAGCAGGATAATTGGGTGCATTTTGAAAAGCATCAGATAATATTTTACCCTTGCATCTTTTTTTGCCTCCTTAAGTGAATTTTTATGAGAACTATGTGGATTCTGATGCAAGACACGCAGAAACAGTTCTTAAAAGCTCAAGGATATGTGAAGATCAAAGCAAAAACACATCATACTCCAACAAATAGTTATCACCCGGAAGAATGCTCTTGTGGTTGAGATAATGCTAACAAAAGAGTTTGAAACATAGGAAATTAAGTTAGCAAATAAAATTATCTTTTTTATATATTGTAACAAACTTTACGTTGTTATTATAGAAACCCTCTCGAAGTACTTATTCTAGGTTTTTTAAATATGGCAGTATTTCCGTGAGGGGGACAGGTGGCCCACCATTATAAATTCCCTAAGATTGTAAATGTATATTTTATCATCGTGTGTCAAAATATTCATTTTAATATTCAAACATCTTACCACATAATAAGCTGTAACCATATGTTTATTTGTTATCTTATACCACTATAACATTAATAAATATTTACAGAGTCACAGTGTATCATAGATGTATTAGCAATGGTAGCTCACTTTGATTGTGAGTGAAAATCTTCTGTGCCTCAGAAACTAATTTTAAATAGTGTTCCATTTGTTACGCATCGACAAGAGCCAAGAAGTTAAAATTTTTAAGACTGGCACCCCTTTTTTAACTCATGTTGTTTTATTTATTTTCCCCAATTGAATGAATTAAAGATGGGGTGTTATCTCAGCTTTGAATTCTTTAGCTTGATGTCACAGCTTTTGCTTTATTTGTATGTGAATTCTGTGTTTAATAAAGATGAGCTCTGCTGAACTTTCCATTAAATGAGAGACACTTAGGTACACATCTTTTCATAAACCATTTGGCTAGTACCAGAAAAATTCAGAAATGTTGACTATTAATAATTAACATGGCAAGCTATGTGATTAATCAGAATTTTTATGATCTCTAAAAACATAACATTATCTCTGTAAATTGGATCAGGTACAATCAAGTTGACAACTATCAGTTTTTTTAAAAAATGGTAAAACTCGGGACTCATGACGCATTTTTCCTTGTATTAGTATTTATCCTTCTGTGACAGCTGAGACTAGACCAAATCTCCATTCAGGAGACAGCTATGTTCAAGACGAGGCACCGAGATATCACTTTCATGTGTCAGGGGACAATCTGAAGTGATCCTGTTCTGCTGAAATCATGAACAGCTTTTGCTCATTTGGTAGTTATTGACTTGGTTACCTTTTTCCAGTGTTTTTTGTCATTCTTACTCAGCTCGTGATAATGAAGCCCTAAACTCAGCTGCTTTTTTTTTTCAACCTATATCTAGGCAAATAATATCTTAATATTATCTATTTTTGTCCTGATTTTCTCATCTACAGAACTCTCACCAGACTAAACATTAATAGTTTTCTTCTGATCATGTGTCTGAGTGTTCTTATTTGGGTTCTCGGTGAAAATCTTAACTGGGTTCTCTCGCTTCCTCTGTCCATCAGGTATACATCCAAAAGGATGGTAGGACACTGCTAGTGCCAGCTATTATTTTTAATTTAAACTCAAGATCTGCTTTTGACATGATCATCAATTCTGGACCATTGTGCATCTTAACCATTTGTCTCTGGGAAGATGTTGAGTACTGTAATCCACCACCCTGTTTGTCTCTCCCTGTTTATTTGAAGCACATCATAAATTTCAGGTCATGAAATCTCAGCCCTCACCACACCTTTGTTCCATTGACTGAATTTCATTCTCAAAAGATTTCCCTTTTATGTGATGAAATAATCATGGATGAGTGCACAATGGAAATGCCTTGTGGTTTCTCTCTATGGTGTCTTTGCACTAGTGGAGTAAAGTGTGTTAAAATACAACCTGAAATTCTGGACAGCTTGAACCTCTGTTAATACCCTTGAATGTATCTTAACAGCCTTTGTCTAGGTCTGAACTTTCCAAATTATGTATTTCAGACATTGAGAAAGAAGGGCCTTAATGGGTGTGACAGCCCAGATCCTGATGCAGACGATTCAGTAGGTCACAGCCCTGAGTCTGAGGACAAGTACAGGAAAATTAACGAAGATATTGATCTAATGATCAGCAGGCAAAGATTGTGTGTAAGTACTTGAAACACCCTTCCTTTTTTTTTACTCTTGATATTTCTCTGAACCTGGCAGGCTTTGAACAAGAAAGAAAACAAAGGCTGTGAAAGCCCCGATCCCGACTCCTCTTATGCACTCACCCCACGCACTGAAGAAAAATACAAAAAAATTAATGAAGAATTTGATAATATGATCAAGAGTCATAAAATTCCTGTAAGTACCAAAGGTAGATGGCTGGTCTGCTGATAGCTGCTGCAGTAACACCCCCTTAACCCTTTCAGTGAGGAACTTTTTAAGAAGCACTGGAAAAGCAAACCAGTAAAGTAGCCATCTCATCCCCAGGCACAAGCCTGTAGAGCCGCAACCCTTGAAGTTGCTTATTCTTTATAATAAGAGTCGCCACCCAAAGTCATGCTGAGGTAGAAATTTTGAAGAAAGAGAGGTTATGTGGCATCCTCTGAATTTACAATGTTTTTATAAAAAAAATTTTAAAAATTAGTGAAAACCTTGTGAAGCCACACAAATCGTGGTACATATGAACAGCCTACCAATCTCTTGAGCAAGTCTGAGGATTTCCTCGAAAACACAGATTTCTGTATTCTACCAAGACCAGACCAGTGGAAAGGCAGCTCTTCTCATGTAGATCACATGATCATCCCCTCCAGAAAAGTTCATTGCTGAATAAAGCTTCTGCCCCCTCCCTAAATGCAACATATCCAACCACAACACTGAAGGTTTAAAGCTAATGCTCGCTGCAGGAAAGCAGACTGCATGCAAACCTAACGGTAAGATTTCAACGTGTCTGTGTGCCGGGGTGATTTTAAAGCCTTGTCAGAATATATGCTTTGCCTACATCTCCACTTTTCGATGCTTTAACTGTCAGCTAAATTTTGTCTTAACCAAATCAAAAAATTTCTAACAGCCAATCAGATGTGCCTTGCCGGATATTTAAGAGAAATAACTCTGCATGTATTATTTTGTTTGCCCACATATGGAAGGGAGATGTGAGTTCCTTCTATTATATTCTCTCACCGAGGGATTTTGTGGCATAACTGACGAAAGTCAAGGTTCACACACTTTGGGAATAACTGGTGTTAGTATCTGAGTCCTCATCATGTACCGACTTCTTAGCTAATTAATTCCTTTCTCCAAAGTGTGCTTTACCTAAATTAGTGAAAGAACGTAAGCCTCAGAGACTGAGAGAATGGCCAGTGTTGGTATGTCTCAGCAGCTACAAGTACAGATCTTCAGGAACACAAACCGTAGGTCAAATTTACAATTGAACTTTCAAGATAAATTAATGTTCAGTACTGGATAAGTGTACAATCCACAATCCACACAGTAGGTACAAAATTCAGCTCTCTAAATTTAACTTAAAGGCTAGGGATGCAGGGGGCCAGAGCAATAGCACAGCGGGTAAGGCATTTGCCTTGCACGCGGCCGACCCAGGTTCAATTCCCAGCATCCCATAGGGTCCCCCAAGCACCGCCAGGAGTAATTCCTGAGTGCAGAGCCAGGAGTAACCCCTGAGCATTGCTGGGTGTCACCCAAAAAGCAAAAAAAGAAAAATAGGCTAGGGATGCAGTTTAGTGGTGGAATACTTATTTTTCTGGCATGCTGTAAGTTTTTGGTCTCTGTCCCCAGCACCACAAAAAAAAGTAAAAGGGAAAAAAATCATATGAAATGTATTTGCATATTAAATTGTCTATCCTATAATCTGATTCTTTTGTCAGGCATTATAGTGTCGGGAGTAGAGCTATTGTTTGATCAGAAATTTTTCTTGTTGTTTGTTTCTGGGCCATCCAACAGTGCTTAGGACTTTCTCCTGGCTCTGCACTCGGGAATTACTCCTGGCAAGACTCAGGGGACCATATGTGCTGCCGAGGATCAAACCCCGGCTTGGCTGTGAAAGCCAAACTCCCTACCTACTGGCCTATCTTTCTGGACCCTGGGGCACTGTCCTCCCGTTGTTCATCGCTTTGCTCGAGCGGGCCCAGTAACGTCTCCATTGGAGACTTTGTTGTTACTGTGTTTGGCATATTGAATACATCATGGGTATCTTGCCAGGCTCTGCCGTGCGGGCAAGATACTCTCAGTAGCTTGCCAGGCTCTCCAAGAGGGGCAGAGGAATCGAACTCGGGTCGGCCATGTTGGCTGTGTGCAAGGCAAACGCCCTACCGCTGTGCTATCACTCCAGCCCTTCTGGACCCTAATCAGAATTAATTATATATCATGTCATGAAGGAGAGTTCAGTGTATTACATTCTTAAAGGTGTCCTGAAACTAAGTACTATATCCAGCACATGCACTGTGGGCACCTCATCGGATCAAATAGTTTGGTGCAGCAGTGCATACTTCTTAGGGTCAGACTTCTCAAAAAATAGCCATGGAACTCTAATTATTCACTTTTCCAAAAAAGGAAAGAAACTTGGCTTGAGTTCATTTTTTTGTTGCTTCGATCCAGGTTTCTCATATTACATAACACACTCATTTTGTACTGCTGCGCACAAATGTTTGTCCGTGTAAGATTTAAGGAGCTAAGTAACTGCATTAGCCTCAGTTAGAGTTTGCCTGCCTCATCAGAAAGAGTCCGGAGTGGACTGGTGACTTGCCTGGGCAATGCTCCTAACTGTGTGGGGACTGTTAGTCCCCAGAGTTCTAAGAGGACTTCCAGGTTGACAATCAAATCCTCTCCCCCAGGCTTTGGGGCTAAAGAGGTGCGATGCAGACTTGGGTTTCCTCACTGGACTTCAAGCTATCGCAGAGAGTTCAAACCCAGGATACCGCGAGTTCCTTGAGGTGTGTTGTGTGATGTGAGGCCCAGGCTGCGGTGCCACACGGCGCTAAGCAGCTCAGAGCTACGTCTCCTGCTGCCATCTCCGTGATGAAAAAGCTCAGTTTTCGCACATTGCTCCCAGTTGCTGGAAGTAAATTTTGTTGAAAGTTTCCACAGCTGCTAAAACATTTCCAGCAGGGTAAGGACACTCTGCCCTTTGTATGGAGAGAGTGTCTCCACCTTTTTAAAAACATTACAAGACTGTTTTTCTATTTCAAAGACCCAGTTTGATGAGTTTCCCTTTTAAACTAGAAAATTTAATATTGCAGTCACCTGTTAGTACACTGTAATTTATGCCCATATTCCTCAATTACATGAAATAATTCATGGATGATTTGGGATCTTGTTGACTGGCATTTCCTCCTGTAGGATTGGCCGTCGTTCATGCTTGGCTTTACAGCAAGAAAAAACAGCTCCATTTGAGGAAGCTAGGGCTAGGAAACGGCTGAGATGCAAGGCTAGATATAAGACTGGGAAGGGAGGATCTAGGTAGAGAGGTTGCTGTTTTCTTCAGTAATAAACTGAAGAAAGCAAAATAATATTGTCACAAGGATGAAGGTAGGAACAGAAAGGCGGAAGCACTTGAGATTGTTAAATATGCAAAGGAAGAATGCTCAAGGGACAGAATATTCAATGTCTAAAATTGCAGTGGGGATAAAACATAAGCTTCTTATGGGAAGGAAGGAGGACTGCATGTAAGAGAACATTCCAGAGTGTCCTGAGAATCTTCAAATGGTGGAGAGGTAGAGTGAAGTTGAGTGCAGCCATCAAATAATAGCGACTTATTGTATAGAATTTAGCTTTTCTTTTTTTTTTTTCTTTTTGGGTCACACCTGGCAATGCACAGGGGTTACTCCTATCTCTGCACTCAGGAATTACTCCTGGCAGTGCTCAGGGGACCAAATGGAATATTGGGAATTGAACCCGGGTCAGCCTTGTGCAAGGCAAATGCCCTATCTGGTGTGCTATTGCACCAGCCCCGAATTTAGCTTTTCTTGAGATAGGAAGCAAATGTCTGAGAAGGATGATACCTTGAAGGCATTGTGAAGAACTGGAGATGGCGAGGGAATGAACAAGAGCGTGCTAAGAGTTGGCAGGCAGCTTTGAGGAAATTTGAATATCAGCAATATGGGCAGACAGGAATCACTGGAGGTGTGTGATTTTTCTTTCCTTTTTTTTTTTATTCCTGTGCTAACATTCAGCAGTAGTCTGGTAATTGAAGTGTTATTAATGGCTAAAAGAGAAGGCTTCTATTCATGAGAGAAGAAAGTGGGAGCCAGAGAGTGTATTAATTAAAAGTACTTTATTCTTGTTTGGGGGCCACACCCAGCTCTGCTGAGGCTATACTTCTGGCTCTGTGCTCAGGGATCACTCCTAGTAGTGCTCAAGGGACTATAGGCAGGATTAGGGAATTAGGGCAGTTGGCTACATGCGAGGCAAGCACTTTAACCCTCTTTCTGACCCTCATTAAAAGTATTTTATGAAAAACCTTATTTGAATACTATTTGGACTTTTCCTTATACTAAGGTTTGACAGTATTAGGGGGTTGGGACACGAGTTCAGAAAACTATCTGACCACAATGATTCTCTTTAATTACCGGTTGATTAGGGACAAGAATTAAAAGGTTTGATCTGTCATGTCTGTATCTCTTAAAATCTTGCCTTCCCTTCTGACCATGTGACATGAGCAGTCACCTGGACCCTGCTCTGGCTAGACCATGCTTGTTTAAATGTGCTACCAGTACTGTCATGAAATTCCAAATCAAGTTTGTAATAAGGACCCTTATATTTTCATTTTTCCCTGGACACTGAAAATTATACAGTTCTGCCTACGGAATTTTATTTATTCACACCAGATTCCCTTTCCCTGTCATGAGTATTCTGAGATTTGGAGCCTAGCATGAAGATCATTGCCGTTTGGGAATTTTAAAAACAATGGTATGGCTTGTGTTTTTTAAAAGACAAATCTTCTAAATTTTATATGCTTTTAGTTCCCTCGTTTTGAAAAGTCAAGAAGCAGAAGAGAGAATTGTGCCAATTCCCTAGAAACGTTTGTACATTAGAGAGCCGTTGTGTTCCATAAAATTGTTAGAATAGTTTGACTTCTCTATAAACGCAGCCACGTGGTGTTGCAGATAAGGTTGATGGAAAGGAAGTAACTTGCTTGGTTAAATTGCAGTTTATGGCACAATTGGAACTGAGATTTCTGATAGGAAGACTAATATTCTTTCTGTTTCTCTGAGAGATCTCCCCATTGGGGTCATTTTTTAAGCTTAGTGGTTGTCTTCTAACTTGCAATATTCAGTTTGTGATAGTACTATGAAGGAAGGGCTGGAGCGATAGCACAGCGGGTAGGGCATTCGCTTTACAAGCGGCCA